GGTGGGTGTCAGGAGGACGGGGACAGGCTCTGTTCAGTGGTGCCCAGCGACAGGACAAGGGGCAACGGGCACAAACTGAAGCAGAGGAAGCTCCAGCTGAACATGAGGAAGAACTTCTTCCCTCTGAGGGTGATGGAGCCCTGGCCCAGGCTGCCCAGGGAGGTTGTGGAGTCTCCTTCTCTGGAGATATTCAAGCCCCGCCTGGACGCGGTGCTGTGCAGCCTGCTCTGGGTGACCCTGCTTGGGCAGGGGGTTGGGCTGGGTGACCCACAGAGGTCCCTGCCAACCCCTTCCATGCTGGGATTCTGTGATTCTTTGACCCCCCAGCCCCATCTGGAATGGCTTCAGGCTGACCTTCAGGATGTTCCAGAGCTGACATACCGGAACGTAAGAGCTCAGAAACACTGCCAGAGCTACCAGCTCAAGGTGCCACGCACCTGGGAGCTCTTGCAAGCCTATGGTGAGCCACGGGACCCACCTTCTCATGCAAGGCTACAGATTTCAAACATTCCTTTGCAATTCCTGAAAGCAGAGCTGATTTCCACGGAAAAGCGAAGATGAAGGGCAGGAAGAGGAGCACTCTTCAATGGCACCTGAAAGTTTGGCTCTCCCTAGATAAGGGCAACCCAAAAAGAAGGGACGTGTCGGTACGACTGACGGTGTTGAAAGGATAATATGGAGTATGCTGTAAAAGTCTACTAACTAGAAAATAAAAAAGTAAGAATTTTGAGAGAGTTACCGTGATATATTCTCAACAGTTCCAAATATTCTTTGTAACATTACAGCAGAACAGGAAAAACACAAACAGAATTTTTCATTAAAGGAGAAAATGTCGTTGTTAAAGTTGTGGGGTTTTTCTTTAAAACAAAATTTAAAAAACCCCAAACCCCAGGAAACTCATGGGAAGAAGGAAGAGTTTCTCCCTAAAGTTATCACCATGTTCAGGTGTTTAAAGGGTGGCTACAAAGAAGATGGAGACTCCCTTCTTGCAAGGAGCCACATGGAGAAGATGAGGGGTGATGGGGACAGGTTACTGCTGGGGAGATTCCGACTGGACACAAGAGGGAAATTTTTCACACAGAGAACAACCACCAGCCATGGGAATTGTCTCCCCAGGGAAGTGGTGGATCCCCCAACATCGGACGCTTTTACAGGGTGCTGGGCCGTCTTGTCTAGACTTTGCTTTTGCTGAGAAAGGTTGGCCCGGATGATCCTTGAGGTCCCTTCCAACCTGGTGTTCTGTGGTTCTGTTACTACAAGAGCTCTGGAGCACGTCTGCTCCTTCAGCTAAGACTGGGCTTCACAGCTGTCTTTGATGAATCACTTTGGGCTTTCTGGACGAGAAATTCCCACAATATAGGTGGGAAGACAACCCTTCTTGATACAAAAGCTTGCCTACTGGCACCAGAGACCTCCTCAGTGTCAGAAGTATGAGATACCACCCAAACGGTCTGGGTCTGCTGCAAACTGGAGGCTTCCAGCGGTATCAGTGGTACTTGGAAACCCTGGTTACAGTTTAATAAGAAAGGGGACAATTCCATGTTAAAGAAGACACGAGGTACGACTCTTCTGAATCACAGGCAGCGCCAACAGACATGGGGAGATTTCTCAGCCCTA